GTATCTACTATGGACTAATTTGTCAAGAATGGAGTCTTATTTCTTTTTGGATTTTGTAAGAACCTATAAATTGGTCAATGTAGCTAGAGTTTTCCTGCCTGGCCCACAGTCAGGACAAATCTCTCTCACCTGCCAGTCCCACAGTGCTCAGACCCAACCAAGTAAACACAGAGACTTATATTGGTTACAAACTGTATGGCCGTGGCAGGCTTCTTGCTAACTGTTCTTACAGCTTAAATTAATCCATTTCTATAAATCTATACCTTGCCACGTGGCTTGTGGCTTACCGGCATCTTCACATGCTGTTTGTCATCGTGGCGGCTGGCAATGTCTCTCTGATTCAGCCTTCCACTTCCCAGCTTTATTCTCCTCCTTGTCCCGCCTACACTTCCTGCCTGGCCACTGGCCAATCAGTGATTTATTTATTGACCAATCAGCAACACACTTGACATACAGACCATCCCACAGCAGGCCAGATAGAAAATGGTGTATGCCGCGCACTCCCCACATGCTTGACAGTTCCTGATTAGTGTGAGGCATCCATCTATTCATAAGTAGCTGCATTCTTCCTATGCCAAGCTAAGCCACAAAGATCCTGGGACAAGTTTGAAATAGAAATGTTTATTCCATGCTATTATATCTTGAAAATATATAACTTTCTTAAATATTATAGATGCTTAACAGCTAACAGTTTTCCTTAAGTCTTAGAAGAAAGTCTGGTCCTAAACTTTTGAACACTGTTGGAATAGTCAAGTGTATTACAGCTTTGGGGTCATACACTAAATGCGTTGTGTATTGCCATTTGAACAGAAAGCTTTTGTGGGCCAGAGTGTTGTGAATTGGATGTGAATTGTCTCCCAAAGGAACTACGGCGTTGAAAGATCATCACCAGCTGATGGTGCTATTGAGAGATGACAGATTATGGGGACACCAGCCTTATCAATGTGCCATTAGGAGGAAGGGGAAGTAAGTTACTGAGGAGGAGTCTTTGAAGGATCTGCCTTAATTTGGCCCTGACCTTTTCTGTTCCTGTTTTTTCTTGGCTACCATGGTAATTAGGTCGCTACCACCACCACACCCTTCTATAATGTTCCTGCCTTAACATGGGCTTAACACCAGAAGAAACTGCTGACTGTGAGCTACAATGAATCTTTCCTCTCTAAAGCTGTTTATGTATTTTTATTTTATAATAGATATTTTATAATAGTGGATAAACAGCTAACACATTTCCCTTCTGATAAGATTTATAAGAAACTTGAGTTCAAAATATTAATGATCATTTTTGAAATAAGTTGTAATCAACATTTCGTCCACACACATGCTATCTATTCAAATAGATCTGATCTCTCTCACAACTAATTTCTCTTCTATCTGTCCATGTAGTTTCCTTGTCCAAGTATAAGCGTGTTGCTGAGAAGGAAAAGCAGATCATTATAGTGGACACATTTGGTTCTAGTTGCAACTTTAATTACAGCTGCAGTACACTTCATTTTATTCTGCTGTGACTTTTAGAAGATACAATTTCTTAATTTTATTTAAAAATGCCTGTTTATATAAACAAAATTATTTTTCTTTATAATTATAAAACACCCTTAAAGGATACATTGATCAAACTATTAAAAGTTGCATAACAGAGATTATGTTATTGTTGCTTAGCACCATGACTTAAGGAAACCAGAAAGAAACACTAGATGGCTATATTTAAACTTACTTAGTCCTTACTTCACAGTAGAAATGGTACTAAATCACTAACATACTTTATGTTCACATTATCCAAGGTGAATATGACTGCTTTTGATGCTGATAGTAAGAAAAATGGCATAGCCCAAGTGGGTAATTATTACAAAGTTTTAAAAGGGGCTTTACTGACCCATAGGAAGTGTTAGTGGGAACTGACAGGGAAAGCTGTGCTCTAACTCTAGAAGCAGAACGGAGCCAGTGGGTTGTTTTACCCAGAAGGCCACCATCCAGGAAAAGAGAGTTTATTGGCACCAGAGAATGCTCTGCTAAAGAAGGAATCAGCAGGGAAAGGAAGTCACCAATCCTCCCACTATTTACCTTCTCTAGCCATGGGCAGAACTCTATCTGATCCAGAGTCTTTGGACCCATTGATGCAACCCAGGTTTCAGCATCCTCTGACATGGGGGCATGGAGAAGGGTAAGCAAGAGACAAACAGGAGATATCAGCATATTTCCCCCATTTTAAACGTGACCAAATTGGGAGTCCCCTGAAATTTTTGACAATTGAAGGTCATAAAAGTAAACCAATGTGAACTTAGGCCTTCCTCATGCTAATGACCCCACTAAGCTAAGCAAAGAAACAAAATGCAAGGAGCATTTTCAATTTGCAACTCTATTCCTCCCTTTAGTTTTCATACCCATATCATATCCAGAACCACAGCAAGGAATTGATACTTCTATCATCACATTTTAACTGAACTATAGAGTAATTCTGCAACATCTCTCTGTTGTCTGCCTCATTATTATTTTCCAAGGTGAACAAATTTACTGACAAATATTTCATGTAATCAAGTTAAATAATCATAAACAGACTAGTTGTGCGATGATAGCTTTTGTCATATATAGACAAAAAGATATAAGATTTAGAAGATATAACTAAAATGTATAACAAAGTCATCCTTTAGATGTTTATAATCTTTTGTGAGGGCCCTGTGAGCTCCAGAAGAACCAGGGATTTTTGTCTGACTTGTTCATTGCTTCTTAACAGAACTCATGATAGTGCTTAGTGGGTAGTGGGTGCTCAACACATATTCATGAATTGATGAATAGATGTGGAAACACAAACACTGGATATCAAATACAACTTGTAGACAGGTAGCATGTATATGACAGGTTTGAGAGATGGGAAGAATGGAGATCAGGCTTGGTCACCAGAGACTGAGGAAACCTTATCAGAAATGAAAATCAAGACTGAAGATCCAGATGGGTCTTGACAGGTGAAGGAGATTTAACTTATAAATACAAGGAATATTTGAGTACTTGAGACTTGAAAGGGAAATGACCCAGGCTGCTGGGATTTTTCCAGTAGGAAATCAGGATAAACATGATAATAAGGGAAAGTTTGCTCTAGAGGACCCAGACTAAGCCCTTCTAGCATCTCTACCTGTCTGTCAATCCATTTCCAGAGTGCTGCCTATTCTGAGCTACATCTATTTTCCTGGGCTGTGTCTATTTTATGTCAAGTACTGTGTCGCATGATGGTCAGGAAAACACACCCTACTTTGCCTCCTCTACAGCACAAAGCTTCATTGGTTGGGTTTGTGACTCTAGCCTAAGAAATCAGCTTAAAATTCAGTTTGGTCAACACACCTTTGGGATATTTTTATCTTCTTCGAGGCTCCAGATATGTTCTTATTGGAGCCCCTACAATTCTGAACTTCATTCATGAAAGTCCCAAGCGAACGAGGCTGAGTTGGTTCCACCTCATGGGAAAAATGAAAACTAGTAAGCTTTTTCTGTACACTGACTGTCCTTATGCCTATGAATCAAGCTGGTATCATACAAGTGCTGCCCAGTGAAACTTCTGACCCTGTGCTTTTCATCTCTTGGCTCGTGGAACATTATGTGTTAGTAGGAAAGCACTCATCCTGTGAATAGCAGCCAGCTGAGGCTTCGAGATCCTAGAATTGTTGATTTATGCTGCTTTTAGCATACTGCAATAATAGGCTCTCTCAATGTCAGACTTCTTGCCTTGTGCTATAACAGAATAAGAATTTCAAGTAGAGAGGTTTTCCCTTTAAATGTTTCTTTACAGATGGGTTCATAAGAGTGTTTTTTTAGTTGTTGGCTTGTTGCTTTTAACTCTCAGAAGCTACTTAAAGGAGAATTACCCATCAAGAGGACATGCTGGGTTGGAACACATCATTCAGACCCAAGAACTGGAGTGTTATTTGAATTGAACCAGAGAGAATTGAATTTCACTTCAACACACTCCATTATTTCCTTATTGAGTTCTTCATTTCTGTCTGCAGGGAAAGTGGGTGGTGGAGATGGCAGAAAGATAAAAAATATATGAAATTCTGAGGAATTGATTTTCTTATTCCGACCATGAGGTAGATGAAGATCTGTAATGCTGGAAGGACTCTCTACTTTAGCAAAGCCAGAAGAATGGAAGCTACTCTTAATAGCTTGGGATCTACAAAATTAAATTATAAATTTAATTTGGGCTTCTCAAGTGTTTTCTAGAACATTGGGAGGAAGGATGCACAAGGAAAATTTTGTGCCCTGTTAACATTATATTCCCTGTATTTGTGGATAACGGAAGCCCTGATTGCTAGTTTCAGTTTTGACTCAATTCTATAGATTACATTCACATATCAACTAAAGTTAGGTTCATCATTTTGGGTGGTGATTTAGCAATGAGTCATACAATTGGCTTTCTAGAAGAGTTTGTTGGGTTTATTATTATTATTATTATTATTATTATTATTAACTAAATTTATTCATTTATTTTACATCCCAACCGCATATTCCCCTCCCTCCTCTTCTCCCATTCCCTCTCCCCTACCTCACTCCCTTGCATCCACTCCTCCTCTGCTTCTGTTCAGAAAAGGGCAGGCTTCCCATGGGTGTCAGCAAAGCACGGCATATCAAGTTGAGGTAGGACTAAGCTCCTCCCCCCTTGTATTAAGGCTAGGCAAGGCAACCCAGTATAAGGAATGGCTTCCCCCAAACCAGCCAAAGCATTAGGGACAGCCCCTGCTCCCTCTGCTACAAGGAGTCCCACCCGCCTTTAATCCCAGCGCTCGGGAGGCAAATCTCAGAATTAGATGTCAGCCTGGTCTACAGAGGAAGTTCCCAGGACAGCCTGGGCTACACAGAGAAACCCTGTCTTGAAAAGCCAAAACCAAAAATAAATAAATAAATAAATAAATAAATAAATAAATAAATAAATAAATAAATAAATAAATAGATAAATAAATAAATAAGAAAGAAAGAAAGAAAGAAAAAGAAAAAGGGTTTTTTTTATTTTTTTTTTAAAATGCACCCTAGGCATGAAACAGCTTTGACATCAAATAAGATGAACAGAGAACTACCATCTGCTCTGCCCCTGGCTGACATAAGAACACCACCACTAACAAGGTGTCTCTTTACCCATTGCCAGGATGTGTTAAGGTTCTTAATATGTGCTATTTTAATAATTTGCTTCTCACATGTAATCCACAGTAATATAATATTTGGTTAAGAGTTGTTTTCTGGTTAGTGGATTTTTTTTTTTTTTTTTTGTCTGTTTGTTTCTTTTTTCTGTCAACTTGAAACAAGCTGGAATTACTTGGGTAGAGAGGACCTCAACTGAAACAATGCTCTCTCCAGACTGGCTTGTAGGCAAGCCTGTGGAGCGTTTTCTTGATTGATGATTGTTATGGGAGAGCCCAGCCCACTGTGGGTGGTGCGACCCCTGGGCAGCCTGTCTTAAATGCAATAAGAAAGCAGGCTGAGCCAGACATGGGAGCAAGCCAGTAAGCAGTGTTCCTCTATGACCTCTGCTTCAGTTTTTTCCTCCAGCTTCCTGCCCTAACTTCCCTTCATGATGGACTACATTTGTAAGCTGAAATAAACCTTTCCCTCCCCAAGTTACTTTTAGTCATGATGTTTTATCAGAGTACCAAAGACAAAGTAATAAATCAGTTATTGCAGAGAAAGTTTTTAAAACAAAATGTGTTGAGGACTAGGGGAGTAGTTCAATTTCACTGGGTAAGAGGGCTTGCTACTCTTCCAGAGGGCCAATTTCAGTCCCCAGACAAGGCAAGTGGCTCACAACTGCCTGTTCCTCCAGCTGTAATGGATCTGAAGCCTTTTTTATTTCTCTGTGGGCACTGGATTCATGTGCTAGATGCACATACAGATACATACCCACCCCCACCCCCCCCCACACACACACATTATAAAATAAAATGAAAATATCTGTTTGTAAGTAGACACAAGGGTTCAAATCCAGTGCTCTAACTTAGAAATGCATGTTATTTATTGTGCCTCAGGCCACAGATGTGAACAAATCTCCCGACCTTTTTATAAAAAGAAATGGTTGCAGAATAGCTTTTGATGTTCTTGAATTATTCTTTGTAACATCCAGTGAGGTAGGTGCCATTTTTTGCTTTTCCAACTTCAGAGTTTTTCAGCTTCTGAATTTGAAAACTCTTACACACCTGCACAAATTGCCAAATATCCTAATTGTGTGTTCATACATCAAATCTTTTTTGTTCAAGAATCTCAATCGTGCTTTCTATAACGATGTTTTGAATTTTGAAAATAATCGAGTAAAAGACAATAAAAATAGAAACAGAAAGTGAGATAAGAATTTTAAAGAAAGAAATATATATTTATTTTATTTTTAATTTATTTTTATGGTTCATAGTTTCAGATCAGGTATTATAATGAGTTCACAAATGACAACATCACACAGCTAAATTAAGGCAGCTGCTCACACCAGCACTTACTCGGATCCAAACTCTGTTCATCTCGGTGAACTTGTACACAACTACAATTGTCATCATGGAGTTTGCTTAGGGTGTTACACTTTCACTATCAATTACATTTTACACATTTATCCACCACAAAAATAAAGGCATTGAGACAGAATTGAAAGCAGGAGAACAATTAGCCTTACATCACCTTTCATGATTCGTGTGACCTTTTGCCTGCATTCCATCCTTCCTCATCCGTCACCTAACGCTCCCTTTGCCTGGCCTCTTTTCTAAATGTTACACTATACCCATACTTAGAGATGCTTACATACATAAATACATATGTATACATTATAGGATAGCATCTTCATATAAGGAAAACATGCTGTTCTTCTAGTATTCATTCGGTTCATGGTCTTCAAAATGTAGCTCGCATATTCTTTTTATTGCATTCTGTTCCTTATGCCCAAATAAACTGCTGTCCTTTTTTAATTCTATGCTATTTCATTAAAATCATTCATTTCAAGTGGGGTGTATATAAATATTTAAGAAAGGTAGGTACCAATTTAATGCTTATACTTTCCTAGTAACAACATTTTCATTATTTTTTTCCAGTAGATAGCTGGAGACAAACCATCAGTGAAGAGTCACGTAGGGTCAGGTATCAAATAAATGAAAGATCCAAAGTTGAAACTCAGTTTTATAAAAGAAGCAATAAATTACATGGAACATAATATCCATCCACAGAAATACAAGATGACTCCCTGGGTCATCACTTCAGGACTTGGGTTGCTATGGGAACTGAGCAGTTAGAACCTTGAGGTAATAAATGTCACCACTAAAAGGAAGCCGGTCATTAAACCACAAGCATTCGCCAAAACTCCAAGGCTGCCTTCCTGGTAGCAATCAGCCTTCTATATCAAGTTCCATATCTGTATACTGTCTTCATTAGAACTAGAGTTGATAGGATTCATTTGATAAAATATTACCTCATGAAGGAATGGTTTAGCATTGTTATACGCTCTGCCAAGGTGACCTTGGCAAGCTAAAGTAGAATTCTGATCATTCTCATCAATAAAATGATAATAATGCTCTCTTATGGGATTATTTGCCATTTACAAATGACTTCCATATTGATTAAGTCAGTGATTCTCAAAACGACATTTTAGATGGAAGGATCTGCCATTGTTAATTGTATTTTGTCTTTCTGTGTTGAAGAATGGACATTCATAAGTGGATCCTTCCTAGAATGATAAGTTTGTAGATTAAAAACATCAAGGGCTTTTGATACTCATTACTGAATTAGACTTATGAATTATATTGCTATTTCTCATTAATTTCTTTGCCACTAGTAGTTAGAAACTTCTTGATGAAATTTAGTAACTTGAAAATTATAAAACATTACGCCCATGTTGTAACTTGATGGCATCAGAAAATCTGGAACTAAGACAGAAAAACAATCTTTTAGGTTAATGTTCATTTACTACCATATTTTTAGAAGGAACTCATACCTTCTGGCAAAATGTGTCTTCCTAGAAAAATCATAATGCTTGGTGGGGAAGGTCAAGAACGTATTTTATGCTTAGACAACCAATATAAAAAAGCAAAATATGATTAAGTTACATACCACACAATTTTGCTCAGTAAAGAAAGTACCTACTTCCTCTGCATCAGCAGGCACTGAAAGGAGCTTGTACATTGAAAGTATTGTATCAATGCATCTGAATGAAAGTTCAGCCCCTCTATTCTCTGCATATTGTCCAGCAGTGGGTCTCTATATTTGTTCCCATCTACTGCAGGAGGAATCTTCTACGATGATGACTGAGTATAGCAGAATGTCATTAGGGGTCATTTTATTGCTATATTCCTTGAGCACAGCAGTGGCATTTCATTTTCCTCTAGGTCCTTTGCCTAGCTAGTCTCAGGCTCTTGGTTACCTAAGCAGTGTCCAGGATGGGTTCCATCTCATGAGTGGGCCCTACCTCAAATCAGATATTGGTTGGTTACTCCCACAAGCTTTGTGCCCCTATTGCACGAAGCTATCTTGCAAGCAGCACACCATATTAGATCAAAAGTCTTGTAGCTGGGTTGGTGTTTGCCTCTCTCCTTTGGTAGCAGGCAGAGTGCTTTCTTGTACAATGAACACTAGCCTGTAGGGGTGAAGGCTCTAGATACACAAGCTGCACCTCTCCTTGTGCAATGAGTTGTGTGTGTTGTCTTCATCAACAGGGCCTTGCTGTCAGTTTGTGGAGAGCAACCTATAGTCTTGGCAGTGGTTTGGGTTGTGTGGGGGTTTCCATGGGGCCCCTTTGGCTATTAACTCATTATATGTAACCCATTCCTGGAACTGGAAGCTTCTTTGGTAACCAAAGATGTCTAGCTGGGGCCCTGTCTCTCCTGTTATTTGGAGAGTCCACTTAGGTCTCCTTCACACACACACACACACACACACACACACACACACACACACACACACACACACACATTAGGAAGCTTTTGCTGTGTTTTCTATCCTTAAGATTAAAATGCATAGGTAAGTAATAAATGTACCCACAGTATGGGTGAGTAATAACTATGGAGTTTTCTATCTGGGAGTTTATAAAGAGTAGTGGTCTGGAGCATACACCCCAAATGTCTCTGTGTAAAAGTTAAGTACACTTTTAGAGCCTTGGCTCCCCTTTCTGTAGAGTGTGGACAATGACAGTTCTCTCCATGCTATAGTAATCCAACGAGTGTGTATTGATATTACATTTAAAATTTTCTGATACAGGTATAAACTCTTTTAATGCTAGACTTTATTTAGTCCCATTGTTTATTGTCCAGGACACTGAAGGACTTGAGGATATTTTTCTCGTCTATGGTGTTAATACTGTAACATTCACATATACACCCAAGGGGGAGAACTGACTCCCCCAAACTTGACCACAGAGAACCGTCCTATATAACAGCTTGGTGCTCGTGTGCTATTTTGAACTAGCAACCCCCAAAACGTTTGACCAAGCCATTACTAAGATAAGAACAACTGTCGTTGCCTTGCTAGAGCAGTGGTGGCTGAACTGGATTCATCAGAATGGCTCTGTGAACTGTCTTCAGTGCTATTTTTATTGGGTGTATTATGATTATGAAAGTCGGGGTACAGAGAGAGTCTGGTGGATTAACAATATATCGCAGCATAGTTTTTTGGAGACGGTGGCATCATTGTAGTCACACCGCTCAGAATCTGGTAGTTTCTATGTGAGCTTGGGTAAATTACTCAACTTCTCTGATGGAATAACTTGCAATTAAAATAAGTTTATGCTTACAGAACAATTACAAGTTACAAAGAATATTGGAAAACATCACATACTATTTCTCACAAGTCATTGGCTGTGTTAATGTTTTCACATATTTTTATTGCTCGGTGTGTTGTGAAAGTGTCCATACATACACTTATGTATGCACCTTTATGTCATATGTACATGGGGGCATTAGCTTTCTCTCATTCGTATGAAAGTAAAGATATTTTCTTACATAATCAGAGTACCTTCATCAAATTTAGGAAATTCAGTATTGGCATAATTCTATTACCTAATTGAAAGATCATTTTCCAAATTCATTGACTGTTCCAATCATGTTCTTTGTTGCTCTTTTCTCCAGTCTCAGGTCCAGTCACAAGGCTCACACACTTTATTCAGTTGTCATGTCTCTTCCATTGTCTTGAACCA